GTATATGACTAAGAGAGTAGTGTAAAATTGATAAAAATAGTAGATCAATAAGGTGTATGTAATAGGACTAGACAGCCTGTTTAAATGCAACCTTTTTTTCCTTCCCTTTTCCTTTCTTTCCTTTCTTCTCTTTCTTTTTCTCTCGTGGTTAAGACGATTAAGAGAAATAACACCGGAGAGTATTCAAACAAGAGTGAATTCGGAATAAATAAATCATGTGGAAACCTCGCCTGGTTAACTAGTTCACTAGTTACTAGCCGGTCCTAAGCCCGGGTAAAGAGGGAAGGTTGGCATAGGGCTAGCAACCCTACCCCGTAAACAAATCTAACCGCTAAAGTAACTTCAAAGCACAAACAAAATATAAAAAATAAAAACAAACTTATTCCTCGCTGGAATCGGAGAGGCGAGATCAACACAGACGAAGCCAATAAAAGATGAAGGAGGAAATTTAATCACGAAAGAAGAGAAACAAAGGAAACGATGGGCTGACCACTTCAAGAAGCTCTTGAATCGACCACCACCTGCGCTTCGTCCAGAAATACCACCTACAGCCCAGCCGCTGAACTACAAGTGAACATAAATCCTCCAACAAAAATGGAAGTCCTGAACGTCATAAAGCTACTGAAATACGGGAAAGCAGCAGGACCAGAAGAGGTTCCTCCAGAAGCACTGAGAACAGACGCACAGACAACAGCAGACATGCTCACACCACACCACTATTGCAGAATGTGTGGAAGGAAGAGAAGGTACCTGGAGATTGGAAGAAGGGTTACCTCGTCAAACCGCCGAAGAAGGGAGACCTCAGTGTTTGCAAGAACTGATGAGGAATCACTCTCCTGTCCACCCCAAGCAAAATATTAAGCGGCATCATCCTGAAGAGGCTAAAGGATGCAATGGATTCAAAACTACGACCGGAACAGGAAGGCTTCAGGAAGTACAAATCATGTGCCGACCAAATTGCAACGCAACACTACGCATCATCATAGAACAGAGTATAGAATGGCAGTCAACTCGACTCAACCTCAACTTCATCCACTTTGAGAAGGCCTTTGATAGTGTCGACCGAAAGGTAATTTGGAGAGTGCTTCAATATTACGGAATGCCGCAAACCTTTATCAGCCTCATTCAACAACTATATGAAGACTCCACATGCCAGGTAATTCACAATGGGAAGCTCAGTGATGCTTTTGAGGTGGAGTGAAGACAGGAGTGAAACAAGGTTGCCTACTATCCCCCATGATATTCCTGATTGTGGTCGACTGGATCATGCAACAAAAAGTGAGGAGCGAGAGGAGGACGATAAGCTGGACTGCGGAAAAGAACCTAGAAGATCTGGATTTCGCCAACGATGACTTGTGTCTGATGCCTTGTCACACAAACTTGAAGATCTACAGGCGAAAACTAACAAGTTGGCAGAAGAGGCAGAGCAGCGAAGACAGGACTTCCTTCAAGTGAATATAGAGAAGACAGAAGTGATGAAGATACCGCACCAACAACTCCAACAACAACAACAAACTCCAATCACCATCAACGCGAGAAACTTAAAGGAAGTAACCTCCTTCACCTACCTAGGAAGCACTGTTTCAACTACAGGCGGCACAGGCACAGACGAGGATGTCGAAGCCAGCCGGAATCGGCAAAGCAAGACAGACGTTCAGTAGCCTGAAACCAGTGTGGAGATCTTCTACACTCAACATGCGGAACAAGATCCAGATTTTCAACACCAACGTCAAGTCAGTGCTTCTGTATGATTCAGAGACTTGGCGCGTCACGAAAGGGATTTCCAATAAACTACAGACATTCACCAACAACTGCTTACGCTGGCTCGTTACTGAAGATCAGATGGATTGCCGGAAAGAATAAGCAACAAGGAACTCTGGCTGGCTGGCAACGAACCAACCAAGAACCTATCACCCAAGAAGTATGCAGTGGAAGGAAGTGGAGATGGATTGGGCATACACTGAGAAGGCCGACTGGGGACATCATGCGTCAGGCCAGTCACTCGAGGGGAATCCGCGTGGGAAGCGATGAGTTGGACGTCCGAGGTGAGGGTGACATGGAGGAGATGGTGCGAGGAGGAAATGAGAGCTTCTGGGCTGTCGTGGAACCAGGTTCAATAGATCTCAGAGAACAGAGTTCACTGGAGACTGAAGCCCTATGTCCCATTAGGAACCCAAAGGACTGATAATAATAATAATGATCATGTGGAATGAAATTGTGTTCTACCTTCTCTTCATATGTTATTTATAACTGCCTAGGCGAGTCATTAATGTTTACCATATTAGTGGGATGTCTAGCCCATCTTTTCTGTTGACCGAAGAAGGATATAAGCAGATGTGCAAAGCTTTTGCAATGGTCCGCTCTTTGTGAGAGAGAAAACCCTTTTGCAGAACTTTTGTCTGTTCCAATGATATTTTATGACCTGAATATAGGGCATGAGCCGCAATAGCAGAGCTTTTTTCAAGTTTTTCTAGATCATAGGAATTTTTTGGTGGTTTTTTGGAACTTCGACCGTGTTCGGCTAGACGTGTTAGTACTTGACGTGGTGTCTCTCCAATGTATGTGGCATCACATTCGCTGCAGTCTACCTTATAAACACAGTTTTTCTCTATTATCAATCTGAAATAGATAGCCATTGAATAGTATTTCTTTTAAGCTAGCTAAATTATCCAGTCACTGGGGATGAAATAAAAACTACCGATCAAACAGAGCGTTTACACTCTAGGTCAGACTATGACAGATCGATAAATTAACTAACCACTTATAGTCGATTTATTCCTTTAAACAATATACTAAGATAATTAATGAATAATTTATATCTTCATGTGACGTAAAATTACTTCAATGAAAAGTGATTAAACATGATATTGGAGTATTTGTCACCTGCAGTGATTTCACATTGTACAATTCTATCCGTGGAGAGACAACAATGTTTACAAACTTTTGTATGGTATAAATTCATTCAAGAACATTAACTGAATAGAGAAAATTGTGAAAAAATTTATCCTAGAAAGGAAAACATCTATGAACGATTGCAAAGCCAGCCATTAGCTTTTAAATTGAATACTTCTGTATGAAGTCAATCTTAGGTTCGTAAAATTTGGCATCTATTGATGTTTCAGTAGCCGTCCAGTAACAGATAATCTGGCGTAATAGGTATGCTAAATAATTTCTACACTTGGATGCCAATCATTACGAAACAACCTACTCAGTGCACTATCGAATGCAAAATATTTGAAGAAGTACACTGTCTGAAAAATGGCTATTCAAGTCAGTTTTCCGACGGAAAAAATAGGCAAGAAAGACTTGAGAAACCAATCCATGAACCTTGAACTTAAAGGTGGTGTAATACCAGACATTCCTGATAATCGTCTTTCGACGTCAATTAACAGAGTGTTCTTCGCACTTCGTTTGACGTTAACTAGCCACAAATTGTATGTAGAAAAGACAATATCCCCCGACCAGTAACTGCCATGTGTATCTACGAGTCCACCTGTTCCAGTGGAGCAAGCGACATCGGTCACCGGCAAAAGCTGCTGTCAACATGCATACGAGAACATATTCCAATCTGGTTTTCTAGGGGTTGAAAGAAATCTTTCAAAGTTTAACTGATTCTAACCATTCAGCCGATGCGAACAATAAAAATTTAAGGTTGTCTATTGAAGTCTGACAAACCTGGAGTTATAACAGAAATTCTTTGTTCATTGGGACCTAAAACTTTGAAGAATATGGGATGTTTTCACCCTAAAATTGGATGAAAAGTGAAAATGCATGGTAGAAATATCATCATGAGCTGAAATCATTTGGGGTTACTATTGAAAACCTAAGAGCTTACACCAAACCTCACCCGTCAGGGAATGAATCTACCATCTTCAGATCTCATGGTGCGCACTTTTCTACTCAGCTACTGGGTGGAAATTCAATGCTCCATAGGTCCTCCTTCCTGTCAAATTGCAGTATAGAGTGATCATCATACAATCCCAGCTGACTTGAATGACCCCACAGGTCACAACTTCTCATCATAAGTTCGGGAAGTCTATCTCGAAGGTTATCACTAATAAGCTTTAGGCAGTAATTCACTTTGAAGGTTTGTGGCGATACCACCTTGAAATTATTCAAAACTGAAAATATGGTCTGTTGTTCACCAACTTGAGTCCATCAGTTCGCTAACTTAAGGAAATGCATCAGCCAGCCGAACCGTCTAGTTGCTGACGAAATATCGGCTCGGATACAGTAGACAAGATGCGTCATCTGTGGCACTGACTGATGAGATATCTGACAACCTGTTGAAAGACGAGTACACTGTGCTCCAGTACGTTCTATCCTGTTATATGGCTGAGAAATAGCCACTGAAAGTAGATGATGTGAAACGGTTGGAGGTTTTTGATCACAGGTGTCTTCATAGCATTGCTCTCGTTTGGTGAAACGAATCACCATTCGAGCAATATTGAGATCAAGTGAAGGGTACTAGGAAATACACGGAAGTCGACTGATGAAACTGAAACTTCTATGGCTGAGGTGGCTTGGACATGCGATGCACATGCCAAGTCACTGTCTACCTTGATATGTCTTGCTAGGGTATGATGGATTAGGTTGAAAGATGGCTAAAAAAGACGTGGCACCAGTCGATGAATTTCATGACTGTTGATTTATAAAATGATTTGGTATTTTCAACTCGGATAAATGTACACCGAAATGTAGTTGTTTTATACGGTTTTCACTTCATTTTCCTTATTTTTAAATTATAGAAAATACTAAACAGTGCACGAGTGAACGTTCCCATGCATTTCATTATATTTTCATAAAATTTGATGCAAAAATAATATCTTTTTAAATAATACTAAGCACGGCATTTTGTTTAACAAACACATGATTTGTTTATTGAGATAGCCAATGGCGTATAGACTCAATGACCTTATGCATTGCACCATATGATTGGATGATGTAATGAGTCAAAGTAATTTAGTTGGGTGAATTTGACTCTCTGAAGACTACGTGAAATAATTTCTCTTCTATTCGTATTGACAACAAATAGCAAGGATTTAATCAGCTTCAAATGAAGACTTCAGCGGTGGCTGTTGTATTTTTCGCCTTTTTGATTTATGAATTTCAGGCGCTTGATTGTGGAAGTAAGCAGTTGGTGGATTATATTTTATAAAAAATAGTATACTTTTACATTGAATGACCTCATGAACACTTTTTCTAGTTGATAAATATTTTAATTAAAGGAGACAAAGAGAGACAGAGAATGATTTGCCATCGAAGTGATGGCTACTGTGTAACACAACGGTACTTAGTTATTCCCCTGTTTAGTTGTTGGTTCATAGGGCTTCAATTGTTCAACGCTAACTTTCCACATAGACTGATATCATTTGGAGAATTATTGAAAACCAGGAAACAGTGGACAGATACTTCATCCTGGTTTGAGAGTCATCAGAAGCGTTCAGCCACAACCTAGGACCTGGGTTGGAAATATATGGCCCAGTAATTCCTGCTCCAACGAATTCGCTATACATTGCGACCAGCATCCAATATTATACTTGGACAGCTGTCTCACTCTGACCTTGGTTGATTCCACACATCACGACTTCTTAAGGGAACTTCAAGAAATCTGACTTGAAGTAAATCATTAACGCACGCTGAAAAGGAACTCACCTGTTAGTTAATTAGTATTTACACATAAAAAGTTTTCCAACTAAGCTTTTTTTAAGCCACTTATGAAGTAACAAGGAAGAACCGGTGATTTAAGTTCAGAAAAGAAATGAATCTGTGTAGTTTTCTGATGACTATTAGATGAAACTGTAAAAAAATTATAAATAATCTAAAGCTATGTAAATCGGAGGACGACTGAAGGTAGTAGGAAACGTAGGTGGCACCAAGATTAAATTATGGGCCTTTGGGTTGTCGTCTTGGTGATTATTTAACACCAGTCGACCAAAACTCTAGCTATCTTAGAAGGTCTCGCGGAAAAGTCTATCTCTGGAAGGTTAAAAAGCAGATTTACGGGAATCTCGCACATACACTCAAATATACAACTACAAGTAAAGTCTATGTATTCACGCGTATTTCACTGTGGTTGTTCACAAGGAAACTGTGTCAGATCCATGTTAATATAGGGCCTAGAAAGAATACGACTACGTGCCAGATTTTTCTCAATACATTTTTTTGGTTGCTTCTATTATCTGAATTGTATTAACCTCAGCTATTTGTAACATTAGGAACAGATATTCTGGGGTCTTATAAACTACTAAGAAAGGCTGATTTACTGTCAGAAGCTTGGCCGATATTGACTGAATATGACCTGATAGAGTCACTAATCTCCTTCGCTACTCCCCTCCTTTCAACAGTCACCATTCTGACAAAGCTCTCACAGTACATCCATGAGACCAACGTACATAAGAGGATTTAAATCTAAAGATGTACAGTGATGCGGACATTCTTGGTTGTAAGAAACGGTTGGTTCCCATGGTTATCTTCTTAGTGACTTTCATGAACGCTTTGTTCGATGATAGCTTGAGTCTGTCCGTGAGAATTTCAGTTAGATCATCTTCCTAAAAGTGAAGGCTGTCTATCTCAGATGAAGGTGACTGTCTTCGTTGTCCTACTAATTATACTTTTTACTACAAGATTCTGGAAGTTTCCCTAGCTCATCCAGCTTTTTGTCGACGGTTGCTCTGGAGTATATTTCCCTGTTTATGTCCACTAGACAGACTGAAAAATTTCCTCTTTGTTAAAGAAGTAAGATACTTTTTGGTGAACGCTACTGATAATACTTTCGTCTTCAGACTTGGTTGAAAGGATATTTTGCAAGCTCATGTGAAAAACATGGTCTTCAGTCTATTACTCTGAGATGTGTGAACAGCTTATCAACTATGATGCCTGTGTCAAGTGAAATGAAAGTGCTGTCCATATACTTGGTTATAGATATGAAGCTACTCAATGTATGATTTCAATATGCCGATTTCCAACTTCGACGTTAAAATATATTGGCAAGTTATTTCAGTGATACTGAAGAATATAAACAGGGTTGAGTATGGAATCCTACCGATTGCTTCCAAGCAACTAACACCATAACTCATTAACTGTTGCCTGAAGTGATGGTGATGATGATGACCTCTACAGTTGGAAAGCAAATGCTGTTATAATCACTTGCTTGTCTTCATCATATGAAGGATAGTCAAGTTTCCAAAGCCACATACCTATAAATAATATCAAATGAAAAAAGCACTTACTGAGAATCTTTTGATGAGTACATACACGTTAAAATTTAATTAAAGCAGCCTTAACTGGTAAAATGAATGATTCTAAAATCAGTCAGGGCTGGATTTTAGTAACGGTAATTCTTCTACTAAGACATCAGTATGAACAGGAAAAAAAGTGTATATGGCAGCACTAAGTGAAGAGTCAAAGTTGAGAAAGATAGTTTCTTGGAAGGTGTCACTGACCATCATAAACTGAAGGTATCCGACACTCTTCAGGCACATCAAACCACTTTCTTCTCTAATATGTAAAAATGGATCATCGTCTTTCAACTGATAGATTCTACCTTCAAGTTCACTCCATCTACTTCGGTCTGGGCCTTCACTCAACAAGCACACCAACTATCTAGACATGTATCACGTTTAGTTGCATTGACTAAACTTTTCTCCAATGTTCACCATTTATGAAAACAACTAAGGGTAGTTGAACCAAGACATGACATCAATCCATCAAATATCTACTAAGCATTGGTCTCAGCTGTGTGAAGAAATCTCAGCTTATTGGCTGTGGTTTTAAAAAACTAGGCCAGTGAGGTCTACTAGATAACGCTTCAGGATTTGAAACAAGGAGTACGGTATTTCAGTCTCAGTGGGAACAACATCACTCACTAGATTGTCGAGGTGCATCTAGCTGATGAGTCCTTAATAGGATGATATGCACATCCTAGATTCCACTGCTAGTCACCACCATGTAAATTATTGCAACAATAAATATTTCAAGTTGTTATTCATCGAAAGCTGACATCAGTTGGAGGAACAAAGGAAACCTGGGAGCACTGGACAGCTGTTTCGTCCTAGTATGGGGCAATAAATATTCAGGCAATATTGGGGCATCCATTTGCCAACCTATTTCGATTAATCCGATCCAGTATAACAACGGGAAATTACAAGTTGTAACAAATAGTAACTTAAGTATTACTGTTTTGTTTTTCTCGTGTCAACTTCTATTTTTGGATTTCGCAATGATATGTAAAGTCATTCACCACTGCTGAACTGTTCCAGGTTCTAATCAGTTAATGTCTGTCTGTCTGTCTGTCTGTCTGTCTGCCTGTCTGCCTGCCTGCCTGCCTGCCTGCCTGTCTGTCTGTCTGTCTGTCTGTCTAATAACGCATGTGACAATAGCAATGATAGTAAGCAGTTTTCAAACGTAATGGTTTTACTTTATGAACCAATGAAAAGCTGAGAGCCATGGAGAGTTGTTTCGCCTCACTCTGAGAAATGTTTTAACACGGATGTTATGTAATTGTGAAACAGTTAACTCTATTTTCAGGGTTACGTATGCTGACAGTTTAGTTTGGTTTACATTCATCTTCAAAACTGTCGTCTTAAGATGAAAATGAATCAGTCTGTGACTAATGAAACGTGGGTAATCCTTGAATGCTTACAGATAGGCTAAAAAAGACTGTGGCACATTTCAGGCTGTACAGAATAAGCATTATTCGCATTTTAATGAGCTAGGTGTCGTCAGTGTTAAATGAAAACTTCACAGACAGTCGACAGATTGTCTTACATGTTAAAATACATATCTATTTGCTATGGTATGTATACTCACTCAAAGAAAGGCATAGTTCGCGGTGATTTCTTACAGTCATAATCAGTAGAATCACTGTCTGAGCATAAAGTTAACCTTTTTTGATGACCGTGCTTATATTCACATGCATCCAACTGATGCTCGTGACCAAATATGAAACCTACATTTAGACTGCACTATCTGTCCAAATGCTACCATTAATGGTATATCATTGTAATTGCTTAACACTCAATTACAAAGCCGCATTGCATCCTGTAGTGGGAGTATCTCAAACGAGCACGGAACGCGAAGAATTACTCTGGCTATCATATTTCTTTTTGAGTCTTGCTAATGAGTGCCAATGAGCACGAAACCAAGGTCCACGGCTTCCTGTCGATCAGTAGCCTTTATTCTGTTCTCACCCAAGTTGTGTCATTCTCATCTCAACGTGTATACTTTCATCCAAGTAGCTCTGACCAGAATTCTAGTGGTCTGAACGATTTGACTCTCCAAGGTGACTTGATCTTGATACATTACTCTTAAGTACCGCTGAAGTCGAACAAAATGTCCATCTAGTGCTTAGACCACGCTGATCCAGCTAAAGCGTGATTAACAGCTGTCAGAGATTGATTTGGAAAGTTTATGCTCTCTTCAACCCACATGATTCACTCCTAAGGTGCAGTTTCAATTTCCAGTTGAAATTCATTAATTCACTCCAAATACGATCGAATGAAGTGTTAATATGGTAACCATTCAGTCTTCCACTGATAGAATGCTTCGTGACAAAGCTAGAAGATACCATCCATTACACCACCAACGTTTAAAGAGATTCCCTCTATATAAAAGATAAATGGATGCAGCATTCGAAAACGGAGAAGAATGCCCGAAGCAAAGTTGTGCCCATTTGTGCAGTAGGCAATGAGTCACACGTATTGTGTGATGGTTAATCATACTACCTGACTGCCCATATCTCGACAAGCGAAGTGGAGTATGATCCCGCAACTCTCTAAACCAATGAATCACAACTCCGCGAATATTATGAACAATACATTCATTAGATACAATCAAGATGCAGATGGTGAAGTTATGGTTCAAAAGTCTGTCATGTTTACTTCAGAATCTGACTGATATGAAGTGGTCAGTAGACACATTTCTATATCTCTACTATAGTGAACAAAAATATCAATCCAAATAATTGTCTTTCGTCAAGAATGCGAATGATCTGCACAGATTTATGCGATTCAAGACGAACTCAAGATACTTCGATAAGTTCTTGTGTGTATGTGTGCTTGTATGAGTGTGTGTGTGTGTGTGTGTGTGTGTACTGTCTAGTGGCATCTCTGAACAATATCAACAAGTT